TCAAAGTACAAAGAAAAGTCATCTGTATAATTCTAGGATATTTTAGTCAAATTGTTTGTTTGTTTTACCAAGGCAAACTTTTGTGAAACTAAAATAAAAAAAAACATTATGTATATATAGAAATCATACTACTTTTTTTGGTTTAATACAATGTAATGCATGTAGCTTATTATTATACAGGTATATAACATTTTAAATCTAATAAATATTACAAAATTTTAATATTTTTTCCCCCTGGGTAATTTTAACTGACATTTGGGTCCCCATGACTAAGACTTAAGACATCGTCGCCATAGAAAATCAGTGGACACATTCAAGTTAGGCTTTAGAATAACAGGAATAAAGCTCTTGTTGTGGGAAATTCATAATAAGATGTTCTGAACACATACCATGAAGCAAACATTTTAAAGAAAGTGCTCTTGTCATATATCTTTTTGGTAAATATAAAAAACTCTTTGTCTGCCTGTCACAAAAATGTCTTGTTTGTATAAAATTTCTTTAATAGGTTGTTCTGACATGGTGGTAAACTGCATGGAGCTCAATACAAGATAGTGCTGGTGGATAATCTGTCAGAGAATTGAAAGTGAGGTGGAGGCAACCTTATGGAAGGATGGCCCTGAACATACAGGCTGAGCATCTGAATAGTTTGAATGAAAGAAAGACCTTGAATACCCTGGACAAAGTCAAGGCCCTAATCTATTTGTCACACTTTGGTTAGAATTGTAAATTGATGGTCAACCTTGTGCTATTTTGGAAATAAGAACTGAGCAATTTCAGTCTCTAAATGTGCAGCACTAACATGACATGCGACACAAGACTTGCTTCAAAGGACTGGATAAAAAACTACCCCCCAAAAATCTATAGAAGTCCTCTTTATACAAGGTCTAATTTTCCTTCAGCTTCACAGAGATGCACTAATTTGTTTTGATGGATCTCTGATTCCAATAAAAATATTGAAGATTATGTTTTGTAGAAAAATGTCAAAAGATGAGGAAAGTATGAATACTCCTGAGGTAGGCTATGCTATGGATATTTTAAAAATTGTCATTTGTACAGGTTGTTGAATTTCTTAAAAAAGCTTGGGTGATTTTGCAAAGGAAATACAAATAGACTAAAAATATATGCTTGTGAAAATGTTTTTGACCCTTTTAGTCTGAGATGTTTCTTTTTGATATTTTAATTATTTTTTCAAATCGAAATTAACAGAGTAGCCTATTCAGGGGCGGAGCTAGATGGGGGGCCAGGGGTGGCCATGGCCACCCTTAGCCAATCATTGGCCACCCCTGTGGCTACCCCTACCAGTTTCCCCTCTCTAATACAGATGGTGGCAGCAGTAATACTCTCAAGTGGAATATTCAAAACATTTCCATTTTTCATATATTACTTACTATTTTTTTTTTATATATTCATAATTACTTGACAACAAAACACTGTGGTTGATTATACACATCAATATACTAACATTAAAGATGATAAGTACAGAATTCATGCTCTTTTCAGAACTAGATTTTTTGTTTTATAGGGTAAAGAGAAAATGATGTGTCTTTGCATTCATTTAGGAGTCTTCAATGAAATTAAATAAATAAATATTTTAATAAAAACTTATTAAATAATCAATTCATGTAGACATTGGTACTTGTAAATATGAATTTTATGCAGAATGATTATTGATAACAGTAGGTAAGTAATGACAATGGAAAAGATGTTCGCCCCAGAACTCAAACCTGAAATAATTTTATCCACTATACCTTTTATCTAGAAAGCACGGATGTTTAAATATATGCATCCATTTTTTTTTTTTTTTTAGCAAAGGCTGTAGGAAAGTATAGTAAGTCTTATCTTTGGCTTGACCCTGAGGTTCTGGCATCTATCTGCTTTTGGCCACTCCTCAGTGTTCATTGGTGCCTGGCCACCCTTATAAAAATGTTCTGGCTACGCCTCTGAGCCTATTTAGAAAATGCACACAACTTCTCTTTAACACACAGACAGAAATCAAGATAGCACATTGGAAGTGCGCGTGCATGTCCAAACATAGCTGTCCAGCCGTGGGCACAGATTTGGCTGCTCCTCCAGGCTCTGATGGCATCTCCATGCCATCCTTACCTCCCCCCCTCACCCATGAAAAAAAAAAAAAAAGCTTACATTGATTTTGAGCCGTTTCATTAGAAACTGTTTACCACCCAGACAGCATCATAAATTGGTATTGAATTGGAAGATTACGAGTGAATGTTGGAGGAAATATAGGGATTAAAAATCTGCATAACGCGATTTTTATGCAGTCCTCCCCAACAAGTATCAGGAAATTGATCTGCTCATTTAGCCGTGTGCAAATTAGTGTTAAACTGGGATGATTGTCGGATTGCCTGCCTGTGCCTGTAATTATCACATTACTAATCCTTTCTACATTTTGGAGGCACACTATAATAGAGATTCCAAATTGCTAAAAATTTTCAAATAGGCAAATACATAAAAATAAGATTAACTACAAGCATAATCAATTAATTACAGTGATATTTTATCAAGCATACACATATTTAAATATGTCCAAAAAGCTAATTTTATTTCCAAAAACAAATAGACAAAAAAAAACGTTTTTATTATATCATGGCTGCTATGGTGTGGAGGAGAAAACATCACTGATCAGTCATTTTGATCCATTGCTTTTTTCAGGGGGCGGAGCTAATGCTGTGTGGTCAGGTCACTGGTCTGTTGTGCAGGCTGACCTGGGTGATATAAGGGTTTTAGCAGCTAGATATGTTCTCAAGTCCACTTAGGTACAGAAACAGTAATATTATTTATTAATAGTAAAAAAATAATATTTAATCATTGAAATATTTTACAATATTGATGAATTATATATTAAATAATTTGTTCACGTGGAATCTATTATTGGAAACTATTGAAAATAGTCTGATTTTAATCATATTTATGATTTATACAATGTATGATCTCTAATAATATATAGAGTTAATTCAAGTGTTTGTTTTCCTAAATTAGGTTAGTCTTCCTGGTTGCAGATGTAATAATATTTGGCACAAAAACTTTGCTAAGTTGGATAAGTAAGTCATAATGAATTGCTGTGGCAACAATAAAGTAAAGGAGCAGCCAAAAGGACACAACAAGGTTAATCTGACTGACAGCAAATTAGAAAATGACTTAAGACCATTAAAAACTTGCCTTAATTCAGATATGTTGGCCTGCTGAAAATGATGTTCATAAAGTGAAGGGGTCTTCATTCCTGTTCCTCAGGATCCACTGCCCAGCATGTTTTGGGTATTTCTCTGCCTCTATATAAATGGATTATTATCAGGCCTCAGTAGACATCAAGTATTAATTTGATTCAAGTGAGCTGGAGCAGAAGAACATCTCTAGCATGCAGGTCAGTAAGTCTTGAGGATCAGGGTTAAAGACCCATACTGTAGAGTATTTCCCCTCAGTACTTGGTCATGCAATATTTGCATTATCTACTCTTCTTCTTCAACATAGCATGTAGAAGATCACCTTTTGGTTCAGCCAAAGTTTAGCAGAAGGTAATTTCAATAATGGCCTTGGCTTATTTTGTGGTCTTGTTTTTGGTCCCAAGTACTAGCTGTAAGGGTGCAGGATTCAGGCCAGGTGAATTATCTGGTTAATTAAGCACTTTGACACTATTGTCACTGAAGTACGTATTGGTACTTTTGGAAGTACTGGTAGGCACCAATTCATGCTACAAAAAGAAATCAATAGCTCCATAAAGCTTATCAGTGCTTTTGGAAGAGACAGCACCTAAAATTATCCATTAATCTGAAGTTAGCTTCAGTCTTAAAAAAAAGGAATTGGAGCAACTAAGCAATCTCCCTTTCCTTTCTCTTCTAAGCCCATTGTCCTTCCCAGTAGGTTGATAAACAAAATGGATGAAACAGTTTTAGGCCATATATCAGTGTGTATTTTTTCATTTTGCTTAATTTACTTTACAAACCTTTCAAGGATTTCAAAATCGCTCTTAGTTTTGAATCTTTCACTTCCAACTTCTTCTGGGAAGTGTCTTGATTCTTTTCTCCTAAAGAAATAAAATCATGTTTCATAAGATTCTAATTTTTTTTCGGTTTCCTTTGCATTTTATTATCTGCAGAATAATGTGCTTGGTAATCTTAAGTATGACACAAAAAGGCAAAAACTGAACATACCTCAGAAAATAAGAGGAAAGATAACAAGATAGAGGATTCTGTGGCATCTTTTCATATAGTGCTGTTTTTTTAAAAGCACTATATGAAATTCACTTTTTAAATTGAATTAGAGATTAAAATAGACATTTTACGAGGATTAAAAAATATGATTATTGATTCATTACATTGTGGCACTGTTGGCTGGATATCGTATGGCACACAACAGGAAATATATGAATCCCAGAGGAAATCTGAGAGCCTAGGTCTCTGTGTGAGGAAGACTTAGTCATGAGTATAATAAGCAGATTACATCATTTCTACATGATTTAAACCGATATAAATTGTGGTGAACTCACGGTGTGCCTTTACTGAGCATAAAAATGAGAACAATCAAAAGAAAACAGCCCAAAATATCTGCTTTGATTTACAATTTCTTTATATTTCAGGGAATTCCCTCTCATCACTTCAGTATCTTGAGATATATTTGTGAGTTTAGCTCTTCTTCATGCTGCCCTTTACAGTCCCAGCCTATGGCTATCTGTAAGGGTCATGCTTCATATAAGGTGATGACTGTGTGAGGGATGTGGATGTGTTTCCCTCCTCCTCCTCTTCCAGCTGTGGGGATAGCGGCCGCCGCGGGTGCTGTGTAACATCCCTGCTTACAGGGCCACGCATTTAAAGAGAAAAAGGAGAGAGGGTGGAGATGCAAGCAAAAGGGGGAGGGGAGGAGAGATGGAGGAGCGCGTAATGGTGTGTGCGCATGGATGGATGCTGCACATTCATACCACCTCTCTCTCTCTCTCTCTCTCTCTCTCTTACACACACACACACACTCTCAGAGATAGTGTGTGATTCAGCCCGCCAGTCATCGTGAGTGTGTGAGCCATGTTGGATGTGAATGAGGAGAGATGCTGCCGCCGCCGCCGCGCCGATCCTAAAGCTCACGCCTCCAGCTCCACGGACCACAGCGGGTAGATGCCAACTCACCAGGACGGCAGAGAGACGGGGGAGCCTGGGGAGCTTGGGGGAAGGTGTCGGGCGGTGCTGGCGGTCCAGGAACTGGCCACCTAGCCGGACCGGAACGAGGGGGCAGAGAAGTAAGGTGGAGAAGGGGAAGTGAAAACGCACTCTGGAGAGAAAGGTGAAGGATAGTCTGAGGTGGAGAAGGGAGAGGAGAGATACGGAGAAAGGAAGAGACTAAATGGCTGCACCTATCACGGGCTTCACCCCGCTCCTGCTCTCATCTCTGGCGCTCCACCTGCTTCTCCTCGGTCCTTTGTTAGCCCTCACTCCGGTGAGTACAGGAGGGGCTCCCAGCAGATGGACCCCTGCCCTCTGCGATCGAGACGCCGGTGAAGTAAACCACCACCGCCAGCAGCATCAGTGTAGGGAAGCAGGCGGAGTACCGAGGGGGAGCTGGGACACCCACTGGAGCAGGTGGACTGTAGTGCGGGGACACACGGGATGCACCGGAGCGCAGCGCAAAGGATGGATTTTGGGAGGAGATCAAGTGGATGTGAGGAGACTGAGAGGATTGCAGCACCCTCGGGCTTCTTTATCACCACCTTTTCATCTTTTGCTCTCCTGCACTACGAGCATCTTTAACTCCGATGGCGTCGGCGCGCATGAGGGTGTGGATAGGGGCGGGATGGGGAGAAAGGGCGTTGTTTCCCCTCCCGCTTCACCTGCTTTCACCTCTTTGCCGGCTCAAAACGGCAAGAAAAAGGCAGTACAAAGGACTAAAGAAAGCGTGCAAAAGCGGTGGTCGGCGAAGAGGCCACACCTCGCCAAACGTGATGCTGACAGAGTCTTTGTGCACGGACCGCTGAGCTCACCCGGAAGTGGCGACAGGAGAGGAAAGGTGAGCAGAGGGGCTCCCGAGGTGAAGAGGCTCTCTGCTCCGTGGCACGTCCACTGTCTAATCCCTAACAAGCAATTCATCCTTCCAGCCAACACGCCTTCACTTGGCTCCTTTCCAGCCGCTCCCTCCTGGTGCAATCATCCTATTTCTGGATGCAGTTTACCTCATACTGACGCTCATGATAACAGGCAAGGTTACCTAGTTTGCAACATTTTGGACTGTATCAGACTAACAAAACTGGAAGACATCAGTCAGTTATCGGCTTTTATTTCCTGCAGCAACAGCTGGATTTATAAAACCAAGCAGCAACCAGTTGACCAGGACAGCAGCAACAAGAGGATTTGGGATTCACGTGGGTGCTCAGCTTGTGTGGACAGGAGGGCAGATAATTGTTCTTCTTCGGGAAGGTACAATGTTACCAATCTAAACAGCAGCAGAGAGAGGGGTGATAATGGAAGTGTGTCTGGGTGCAGAGGGGCTTTCCTCCGTAATTCCTTTTTTTGCTGTGAGATTGCCAAACCTAAGCATGCCAGAATCACTGATGAAGGGAGGGGTGATGGTAGAGATGTAAATGATCTCAGAGGAGGAGGGGTCGACCACGCCAACAAATACGTTAACTTGTCTAATTACCTGGATAATGATTTAGTTTTTTCGTTTGTGACGCGGGGGAAATTACTGCCTGCAACCATGCAGCAGAGCAGTCAAACCCAGGGAGAGAGGAGGGAGGTTGTTGGTGATTGCTTTAGCTGTTTGGTCCGAAAAGAAATGGGGGCTCCTCTCTTTATGGCCCCCAAGGGAGGCCTGGCTCGGATGGATCTTCTCATCCAATTTGCACTCAACAGTGTCACAGAGATGCTTGGCCGACAGGTTTTATCCAACAAAAGAGCCATTATGCTGCTTGTTCAGACAGATTCAGATAATAATTCAAAGAGGATAAAATTAGCTGAAAAGCTTCACGTATGTGTTGCAAAAATTAAAGAAGCTCCAAGGGCTGAGCCTGTTAGTGACTCAGGCTTTTTCTTGCCTACCAAGTTTCCTGGTGCTGTGTCAGTTACAACTTACTCTGTTGCTGAAAATCACCAATTTTTCCTTAAGGAGCCTAATTACACAGCAGTCTCATTTTTCTCCCAAATTAATCTGACCACACAGCAGGATAAGCCCCAGCCTGACTCCGCTAATGCAAAAGGGGTGGTTTCAGAACCAACAGCTTTGCATGCATTTTTGTGGAGCAGATATAACACTAACAGCAATAACAACAATGAAAAGAAAGAGACCAGCAAGAGTAAAGGGTTTGGTCATCAGTCTGATTTGGAAAAATCATCTTGGCACAGGGACATGCAACAAGCAGATCTCGGGTGTGTTGAAAGCTTTTCTAGTGACTGCTCTGTCACTGAGCAAGGTGGAGGCACACTTATGCAATTAAAATCCAGTAATCAAGAGCCATTAGAGCACGGAGGTGTCAGACAGTCACACAAGCCACAGATGGGGACTGGAGAAGAAAGGCAGAGGGGTTCTGAAAAGGAGGGAGAAGGCTTGGAGGGGTCTGCTGCTGTGGCTGCTGCTGCTTGGGGAGGAAAATTACAGGTGGGGGAGGGCGACACACGTCCGATGGGTGGAAGGGAACCACGTGCTGAAGAGGAGGAGTGGGAGAAAGAGGGGGTAAAAAGATTAACAAAGGCTAGCCAGAAAGAAAAAGAGGAAAAGGGAGGGATGGGTCAGAATAGGGGCAGCAGCACCTCAACCATCACACAGTTTGATCGCAATAGAGGGAAGAGAGAAAGCCAAGCAGATGAAAGCCATCAGGAAAGTGAGGGGGGTGAGGTTGAGTCAGAGAAAAGACACACTTCAAGGGGAGAGAGGAGCCTGGAACGCCTGATAATAGTGGAAGATGATGATACCTCTCAGGGAGAACAGGCGAGGAGGATTTTGATGCCATGGTCTCGTTCCAGACGTGCAGCCAATAGACACCCTCATTTCTCTCTGTATAACTACCAAGTACAGGTGGCAGAGAACCAGCCGCCAGGTACCTCTGTCATAATAATGTCAGCCACAGACCCTGATGCAGGAGATGCCGGTAGGGTGAGCTACTCAATGGGCCCACTGATGAATAGTCGATCATCTGACTTCTTTCACATCCACCCAGACACAGGCCTTATCACTAGCACTCAGATTTTGGACAGAGAACATATGGATCTGCATTATTTTCGGGTCACAGCAACTGATCATGGATCCCCTCGGCTCTCTGGAACCACAATGGTAGCCATTTCAGTTTCAGACCGCAATGATCATTCTCCTATATTTGAGCAGTCAGAATACAGAGAGACAATAAGGGAGAATGTGGAAGAAGGTTATCCAATTTTACAATTGAGAGCCACAGACTCAGACTCTCCATCCAATGCAAATATCCGTTACCGGTTTATCGGTGAATCTGCTGCAATAGCACGAGCTGCCTTCGAGATTGACCCACGTTCAGGACTCATTACAACCCGTGGATCTGTGGACAGAGAAACAAATGAAGATTACACACTTCAGGTAGAAGCAAGTGACCAGGGGAAGGATCCAGGTCCACGCTTTTCCACTGTCAAGGTTTTCATAACCGTACTGGATGAAAATGACAATGTTCCACAGTTCAGTGAAAAGCGATATGTGGTGGCAGTGAAAGAGGATGTTCGGCCTCACTCAGAGATCCTGCGTGTGAGTGCCACAGACAGAGATAAGGATAGCAATGCTGCTGTTCACTATAACATTATCAGTGGTAACAGCCGTGGACAGTTTTCCATTGATAGTGTAACAGGTGAAATTCAGGTGGTAGCACCTCTGGACTATGAGTCTGAGCGGGAGTATACACTTCGTGTTCGTGCCCAGGACAATGGCCGACCACCTCTCTCTAATAATACTGGAATTGTCAGTGTTCAGGTTACTGATGTCAATGATAACCCTCCTATCTTTGTATCCACACCATTTCAAACCTCTGTACTTGAGAGCGCCCCAGTTGGTAGTTCAATCCTACATGTTCAGGCTATAGATACAGATTCAGGTGATAATGCCAGGCTGGAGTACAGGCTGACAGGGACTGGCTCTGACACACCCTTTGTTATCAACTCTGCAACAGGCTGGATCACTGTCAGCTCAATGCTTGACAGGGAATCTGTGGAACACTACGTCTTTGGTGTGGAAGCCAGAGATTATGGCATGCCACCTCTTTCTGCTACATCAAGTGTCACCATCACAGTCAAGGATGTTAATGACAATCGCCCTGAGTTTCTCCAAAAGGAGTACTATGCCCGCCTGAATGAGGATGCAGCCGTTGGTACTACTGTAGTTCTTGTTACGGCTGTGGATAGAGATGTAAACAGTGCAGTGACCTATCAAATTACAGGGGGAAACACCAGAAACCGCTTCGCTATCAGTACAGCATCAGGAGGAGGGCTTCTCTCCTTAGCTCTTCCACTTGATTATAAGCAGGAGCGGCGTTATGTTCTAACGGTAACTGCATCAGACCGCACCCTCTATGACACCTGCCAGGTGCACATAAACATTACTGATGCCAACACTCATCGACCTGTTTTTCAGAGCGCCCATTATTCTGTTAGTGTAAATGAAGACAGGCCACCAGGAAGCACAGTGGTTGTCATTAGCGCCACAGATGATGATGTTGGAGAAAATGCTCGGATAACATACTTTCTTGAAGACAACATCCCCCAATTCCGCATTGATCCAGCCACAGGAGCAATTACACTTCAGGCAGAGCTTGATTATGAGGACCAAATGACCTACACTTTAGCTATAACAGCAAAAGACAATGGTATACCACAGAAATCAGACACAACATATGTTGAGGTGAATGTGAATGATGTAAATGACAATGCACCACAGTTCCACAGCCCTAGATATCAAGGGACAGTGACTGAAGATGCTCCTCCCTTCACCAGCGTATTACAGGTCTCGGCCACTGACCGTGATGCACATGCTAATGGCCGTGTTCAGTACACTTTCCAAAATGGTGAGGATGGAGACGGAGATTTCACCATCGAACCCACATCTGGCATCGTACGAACTTTTCGCCGTTTGGATCGAGAGAGTGTTCCATTCTATGAGCTTACAGCCTATGCAGTAGATCGTGGGGTGCCCCCTCAACGAACCCCTGTCCACATCCAGGTGACAGTTCTTGATGTAAATGACAATGCTCCTGTCTTCCCTGCTGATGACTTTGAAGTTTTGGTTAAGGAAAACAGTGCTGTTGGATCTGTGGTAGCCCAGATCACCGCCACTGACCCTGATGAGGGTTCCAATGCGCAGATCATGTACCAAATTGTTGAGGGCAATATCCCTGAGATCTTTCAAATGGACATTTTTTCAGGAGAACTTACCTCCCTCATTGATCTTGACTATGAGGCTCGAAATGAGTACGTAATTGTAGTCCAAGCCACATCAGCACCTCTAGTTAGCAGGGCTACCGTCAGAATCCGCTTGGTGGACCAGAATGACAACCGGCCAACCCTACAGGACTTTCAAATAATTTTCAACAACTTTGTGTCCAACCGGTCCAATAGTTTTCCCAGCGGGGTGATTGGCAGGGTACCGGCCCATGACCCTGATGTGTCCGACAGGCTGTACTACACCATTGACAGAGGCAATGAGCTTCACCTTCTGCTTCTGAATCACACCAGCGGAGAGATCCGACTGAGCCGAAAACTGGATAACAACAGGCCCCTGGTTGCTCCCATGCTGATCACTGTCACAGGTAAGAGAGCATGACGGGAAAATGTGTGAAAATATGGAATGGACTCTGTGTGTGTGTGTGTGTTATTTAGATTCCCCCACAGCTTTATCCAGTGAGAAAAAAAAAGGTGTGAAGCACCGCAGTTAAAAGATAGATGCTGAAGCTGGAGAATGAGAGTTTTCTTCAAGGCTTTCTCTTGAAGAAATTGGATTTAAAAAAAACATGTGGTGGCATTTCTAAAACGTAATGGAAAGTGGATGTGGGTTTTGTTGACCCACATGCAAGGTACCAGGAACATTAAAACAGAGTAATTTTACGTTAATTAAATGTATATTTTATTGCGGTGGAAAAATCTCTTACAAAAATTAAACCATTAGCATGACTACATTCATTCAGAAATGGAAAGAAATTATGTGTTTGATAAGTTTATTTCTTCTCAAATAAGTCTCGCTAATACTTCTTAACACAAAGTTTTAATTTGAACCTAAACTGGTCAGATTTTGTGCGATTTTTTTGATTTTGAAACAACTTTATTTGTCTGGCTAATAGAGAAATACGGAAATTGGAAAGGGAAAGAAGTCCAGCAAGACATATTCTTATTTATTTTTCAATGTTTTACAATGTTTAATACAAAAAAACAACAACAACTGAACTTGCTGATATACATATATACTTCAGCATTGAGAATTTAAAATTATGATAAATGAGACAAAAAGGCTGGAAAAGGACACACATTGATTTTAGCACAGTAGTTTCGGAAGGTTGGCAAGAGTTACCAAAAACAATATTTAATTGTCAGCCTTTTTGACAATCTTTTATCAGGAATGCTACAATGGTGAAGGGGGTTGTATATGGAGTACCTTACTACTTTTATACTTATGTTAATGGAAGCTACTTTGTTTTCTTCGATTTGGTTAACTGAAGCTGAATGTTTACCAATAATGAAATGAATGTTTTGCATTGAATTAAGAATTATGCTTGTTATTATTTGTGGAAAGACAGTTAATCTGTGTGAAGCATGATGAGGTTTTTGTTCTGCGAGCAAATTTTGAAAATATTGCAAATGTGTGGGATCTCAGATTATAGCTGCTGTACATTTTGAATATGGAATCATATTTACACACTCATTTGTGTGGTTAATAATGTTTTTTATTTTGGACACGTAGTTCCAATTTCTTTGGTGAAATAAATGGGGCTGTGGGGGTGATCAATTTCACTGCTCTGCAAACATAATTGATTGACAGGATCTGAGCAAAATACAGCCCAAATTCCCACAACTGTTTTATGTGATTAAGGGAACTCTATTTAGAAGCAAGAATTTTCCTTTTATTTCATAGAATCAACTGTTTTTATTCTACTGAGATACTGACTGAAATGTTATCTCTGATTAACCATTTTAATGTAGAGCGATACAGTTTAGAAAGCCTTTTGAGATCAGTAGCCTTAATGACTTCACTGATTTGTAGAACAGCCATCTTTTCATGCACTGAAAATAAAACAGAATTTATGTTTTAAGCTGATTAAATGCTATCGACACCACACAGGACCTTTTTTTTTTTTTAAATCAAAGCTTTCTTTCTTAAAGTGCCTTTAAAGAAGCTTTCTTTTGCATGTGTTGGGTTTAGCATCAACACACAGCTACCTTAATGCTTTACAGGCCCCTCTGCTGTCAGACATCAAAGCCTAAAGACCAAATAAGCTCCAGAAAAGGAAATGAGTGCAACATTCCTGCTCTGAAGATCTGATTATTGTTCTGTTAGTGTTCAGTGGAGGAGAGGTTGCTTGGGAATGTGTTTGACCTGCTATCCTATTAACACAGTTTTTCTTTAATAGCAGCTTCACATGTGGCGATATTGGCTAATAAATATTCATTTTGGTGTCACTTTGCATGACTAAACAAGGGGAAAAAAGTGTTTGATTAAGTGAGAAAGTAGGAAAAGCATTGTGAAGGGGAATAAATTAGTGATCAGAATGGGAGAGAATGATAAATGAGTTTGAATGATCATTACGTGAGTGCCAGTGACAGTGGCAGAATGGATGAGAACATAAAGAGTTGTTTCAATAAAGAAGTGTGTGTTTTAGAAGAGTGTGTAAATGAGGTGAGTAGAGCGAGTAAGAACAGGAACAGATAAAGATACACTGTTTTTGTCAAAGCCTATAATTTTATATCTACATAACAAAAGACTGTGAAGCAGAGCGCAGATGAAACACAGGTGTGGACAAATTTGTTGCCGCTTCAGGTAAAGATTGGTTTAAAAAAGCCTTAAAAAAATGTTCCATTTAGAAACAGTTTTGTTTTATAAAATTACTAGTGGGAGCTTTTTTTGGACAACCGAAAACAGCAGTGTTTGCTGCCTTGACGTTTTGCTAGGATTTCAGCAGATATTTTCTAGAAATGTGAGGAGAAAAGCAAGACAATACTTATAAATAGATAAGGATAGAAATACATTAGCTGTTGGTTAAGTGTGTTCTGTCATTGTACCGATTGAAATTTCTTGGTAAGTGACTCAACTATGTCACCAGCTGGAGTCACAGGTCAGGTTGCTTTATGGGACACAAGCTAAAAACGTAGGAAAACTCAGTTTACAATAGTTTCTGATGACAGATAAACAAATTTTTGGGACGTTGGATGAGAAAAACATAAAAATCAGAGGATGCCACAGACCCTTCAGCACAAGATTTTCCAGTCATTAGGGGCTACCATTGTTTTATAACATGACAAATACTTGTTCCCAAAAATCTAACTAAAGCATATTCTTCTAGTATACCTGGGCTAACTCCATGTCTTAAGGCCAGAACACACCGAATCCAATTTTGCATCCGACCCAACAGAAAATCATGAAGGACGAGGTAGTGACTTTAGCAATCATCGAAAGTCAGTGGGGATGATCACACCCGTCATGATGTTACGCAAGGTGTCTTGCGTAGGTCCGACTCAGATGGACCCCAGGTTTATTTTAGTCAGACTAGCAGGAATTCAGCGGCAATTTTATGGTCTGACAGGGAGACTCGGTTACAAAGTAAATTTGGTGGAAAATACAAAATAAAATCTGTTTATCGCATCTGCAAAATAATCAGTTTGGGAGTCGTACATCACGTATATAGTAAGCAGGACAGAGTCATGCAAAAATAATGAAAAACTTTGATAAAGTTTCCAGATCTCTCTCTGAGAATCACCTCTCACTGCCTCAGTCAGCATATAAACCGTACCATGACGTTTATTGCTGTGTTTTCCTTTTCTTTAGATGTAGATCTCATTATGTTTTTAATGTAAGCGTAGCATATAATCATTCTCTATCTGTTCTGGTTTGAGAGATGCTGCACAGACTCGTTAAATCTGACTTTGCTTTATAGAACCTTTCATAATCTGTCTGGGGCAAATGTGGGAAATTTGGGTGCCACAGACGCATCTGTGTGACATGGAAAAAAAAAACTCATGGGAAATTAAAAATTCGTATGCAACCAGTGTGTTCAGGCCTTGATTTTGTACACTCAAGATGCAACTCTTTTCTGCACCTCCCTGGCAGTAACCTCGACCATCCTGCTCAATGCACCTTTTGGCCAGGCTCTAAACAACATTGCTCTCTGTTAGAGCATTTGGTATACCTTGTAACTGGAAAGTGGGAGTGATGTAATTCCTGAGGTGATGTCATTCCAGTTTCCGGCTTGTTGATGGTCCTGTTCTCCATTACTATTTTATGGCCACATTTGTTTTTAGTATATAAACAATCATTAATCTATTTTTTCTGTTCAAGTAAATAAAATAGGTAAAAAAAGGTTTATTTTTTAAATCTTTTCTCTCTAATATTATGCCACTGCAAGATAGTAAATTTATTTCACGTTCTTGCACATTTTTAGAGGCGTAATCAAGCATCTTGATATTTTATAAAATCTGTATGAGATACTTTTAGTTATTTTTTTGTAAACCTTTGTCTCTATTTGCCTCCTTTGGTTTGAATCCCATTTAGATGAGCCACATGTAGATCCTAAATTTCCCCTTCCTCTGTCACCCTTTCTTTTACTCCTCTCCTTCTCTGTCCCTCCAGGATGTGACAGTTATGAGATTATAATGAAACAACAGTCAGCCAGAGTCAGAGTTGGAGCAAAGCTGTCACTTTCATTGTTTGCTTTGTGTTATCTGTTACTTCATGTCGTCTCCCCGCCCACCACTCACTTCCTCCCCATTTTTTATCTGTCATCACAGTTAAAGACCTGAACCTCTATCTTTTAACCGTTTTATTTCTCCCTTTTTTTTTCACATTTTACATGCATTTTTCTCCCTATCGCCTTACTTTTCTACATTATATCCAACTTCTGAAAGATGTTTTACATTCTACCTTGGAATCTTTTTACACCAAAGTGCAAAAATTCGGCCCTGACTAGAATTTGGTTTTATGAAAAACACTGCAAACAAAGGAGAGCTCATTTTACGAACGCAAAACGATGTGGAAATTAAGCACATTTCAAATCCTTTCCGTTTTTTAAAGAAAAAAAAGTACAAGACATGATGTTTGAAAAACCCTGTTTCTTTGTGATCGATCTTGTTTCACTGGGTAGCACTTTGGCTTTGAAGAACATTGATGGTAGTAACAATCCGTCCCGTAAATCTTCAGAAGTCGTTCAACCTTTCTGCATCATCATTCCTTGTTTCATTTAATTTCTATGCTTAATTAAAGTTGTTGTTCTGTTAGTCTGTAAATTACCAGCACACCATCGTTCTCCTGCATCATACACATCAGTCATTTTAGTTTTTTAGATTCTCAGAAGTTGTTTTATCAGGATTTTAGATATCAGAAAATTAAATGAAAGAATTGCATCACTGCATTTTAAAAGTTTAAATGGAAAACAACTAAGGCACATTTCTCTTCGTTTCTCACTTTTTGCCTCTTTGGTCCATATTTCCTTTGATTATTCTTGCACTCTGCCTCTGCCCGTAATCCTCTCATACAGTAACTCTTGCAGACTGTTTCTACACATTCTCACACATTTCTCTGCTTACAGTATTTCCTCCCTCAGTGTGT